CCCAAGAGCAAAAGTAAGGTGCCAGGAGCCACCGGGCACTGCTAGACCACAGCCTTGGTGCAATTAGGCGTCTCTGAAAACAACTGCCACAATATTACCTTGAACTGCTGAAAAACAGCTGCTGACAAAATGCTCATGACCTTAAAGCTTCAGCTGTACTGAACATTTCGCATGCACTTGCACAAAAAGATTGACTGCTGAACTGAAATGTCAGCTAAACACAGGGTAGATACCAGTAACTTTGTTAAAATAATTATTATCTAACTAAATACATTGTACCCACCTGTACAGTAACCTGACATCCATAGGTTGGCTTACTCTGACCAGCTGTGGTTTTCACTCTAGCAGTCTCTAAAACATGATAACCAGAACGAAAACATATAATTATGTAAGCTTCTGTGGAGAAGTCTGAAACTCGAATCATATAAGCAACACCATTTTCTGATTTTGCAAAAATCATCATTTTGGCATAAATTAAGTCTTACAAGTTGAATGACTTGTTACATTTAATTTAGAATTGATGTCAGTGTCTAAGAAACTGCAAAACTCTTGGTTAGCTCAATTGGTAGAGCGCCGGACTGTTCTGCAGGAGCTCGAGGGTTCAAGCCCCAGCCGGACCAACACTCAGGGTCTTAAAATTAGTGAGGAGAATTTGCTACCTTTCTATAATATCAAGAAATGGAGAGATATTCTAGTCTTCTTGGATAAGGATGAAAAAACTGTAGGCCCTGTCTCCTGCAGGGTTAGGGGTCGGAGACGTTAATTTCCCATGCACGAGATTACTGTGTGGTGGATGTCCTCCCCTGGAGTGGAATGGGTGGGTTTACTGGGCCTGCAGTAATTGGCACAAGCAGTTGCAGTGTCCCTGCCTGTCGGCAAATCTAATTAATTAAATTAAAACTACCCATCCCCTATCCCAACAGCAGTCAACTAATAAGAAGTATAGGTATGTGACAGAGCAGAATAACGTATGTGTACACACTAGGTTTTGGTGCGGAAACACACATTTTGATTAATTTGGATGGTTGATTTTCTATTCAGCTGCTTCAAGGTATTGTTTTCCTTGCCCCTTTTCTCTTACAGAACAACTTCCAAAAACTTTGTACACCCCCTAAATATTTTGAAAAATTATTTTCTCCTTAAAAACTATGGAAATAGGAAAATGCCTTCCACAACAACAAAATGCCTCAGTTTAAATGCCAGCTCCTTATCATTTTTGCAAATTTCGCAAAATTTTAAACCTCACATGCTTTAGCCTGCATTCTTGATCACATACCTTTGACATTACTCAGCTCAATTATTGACAATGATCTGTAATTTACCACTTACCATTTGCTGCACTCAAGTCAGAGGTACTTTCAGAAGTGGCCACAACTATCTTGTATCTGTTTGCAAGGATGGTTTGAATGAATTCAAAGTGATCAAACCCAAGAAGCTCAAACAAGTCATTTTGAATAGCTGCATTATCTCTAGCAGAACTGAGAATATCAAAAAGTGCTGAACAAAGGTCCAAAACTGACAGTCCACTACTGTTGTTTCCAAAGTAGAGTTCACACTGATTGTGTAGCCAGGAACCATTAAAGTCACTATTGCCATTGACTTCTTCCTTTGGCACATCCTTTGAATGGTTATTTTCTTCTTTTGCAATCCAAAAATCCATTTGATTTTCGACATTTTCATCCTCAGAATCAGAAAAGAGCTCATCATCTGGTGAAACAACCTTAGTCTTAAAAGGTGCAAATTCAATATCACTTCCAAACTCTTTTGGAGTTTCCTCATATTTTTCCTCACTTCTCTTGTTAATAACTGCCACACAATCTTCAGGAAGAAGTAAAATGATGTTCTGTGTAATGTGACAAGCCTTAGTTGCTGCTGATGCTGGAAATGCTCCAAAAAAACTCTTAAGTTTTGCACTTTCATCCTTTCCAATGTGAGTCACTTCTTTAAATGTTGTAAAAATCAATACTGATGCACTTTCCACAATCTCTACAGATGAATCCTTGCCAGCTAGAACACATCCAAAAAACAAATGTTCAGCCTTTTTAGCTCTTTAACTCCCAACAGTAACCCAGACAAAATATTTAACAATTATTCGCCAAAGGCAAGGTGAATATCGTTGTTTTAGTATACCCAATTGTTTTAGTATAATTTCAGAGCTGAACAAAAGAGAAAATTTCTAAAATCATAACATTTTAGTAACATTTATTAACATTTTATTTTAACATTTTATATAAACCACGTGGAGCAGTTTATATAGCGTCATATAAGGAACCGCTCGACCAATCAGATTGCTGGAAACTCTTTGCTCAGCTCTGAAATTATATAGTTAACAATTAATACAACAGCAGGCAGACAAGTAATGAGAACAAAGAAATTACATCAAAAAGAATTCTAATTGATCCAATAAAAAATTCTCCCAACATACCTAATGAGAATTATATAGCAGACGCTAATGAGAATTACTTATAAGATCTTGGGAGAGAAAGGGTAAATAAAATAACCATAATTGCCACAGATATAACAACATTCTTAGATAACATTTTCAAACAGCCTTATAATTTGGTCAAACTAAAACCATAGTCCCTAAGGCATTCTCCTGTTTTCCTCACTGTTTTCTCTATCAAAGAACTCTAAGCATATCAAAACATAATTAATATGTGCAAAGGGCTGTGTGAAACATTTCATTAATAGACCATTTTACAGCTGTGCACTTGGTTGCCAAGCCTTTGATTTGGAGTGAAGCTGAAGGTGACCCTGTTGTGATGGAGACCAGTAACTAGTTCGCATGATAATGAAGTAATTAACATGTGAAAAGCAGAAACATTTGTATCATAACAAGGTCACCATTAGCTTCACTCCTGTTCAAATGCTAAATGTCCATCATTTATCAGCACACTTTCTCAAAATAATTATCATCAAAGCACAAAAGACTTCAATTTATAATAAAAACAAACAAACAAATAAATCATAGCTTGTAACCTACTCTCTGAGACAACTAGGACCACTTGTGGTATGTGTTCCTCATACATTTATATGTATACAGTTCCGTTATTGCACCATCAAATCATGCATATATCACCACAGTGATTTCCCGTATTAATACAAGTTAGCAATTGACTATTTTGTCTGATTTGTTTTAACCATGATGTGAAATTTCCTACCAATTTCTGCAGATGTAAGAACAAGTTCCTTCAAGAGAGTCTTCACCTTGAATTAAATTTAAAAACATTTAAATTCACAAAAAAAAATCTATACCAAATATATATCAAATAAATTCATCCGAAATAATCTATTTTTCTCTCGCGAGGCAAATAGCAAAATTTACCACACTATATTTCTTCATACCTCTTGAGAAGCATTCTTCTCGAAGCTCGTCGCATCTAAAATTAACCCTTTTAATTCCGACCACGATAAAGTTTTTTCGAGTTGATTTTTTGATCTTAATTGCCGCTTTCTTTTCAAGATATCATCACTCTCTGGAAGACGTGAAAACGGAGAGGAAAGCCCTGAGAATGCTCTTAATGACCCTGTTAATCTTGGAAGTTCTATTGGAGGCATATCGAGGTATTGGAAAAAAATCCTTAAGAAAACACAAGACCTTTCTTGGTTTTAGCTAAGTATGCCATATTCCTTTATATGTTGAGCCCACAGTACAAGAGTTAGAGGTATTGTGTCAAAGTTACATTTTTGTCGTGTATGTTGACTCGATGGGGCCCCAATGTTATCGAAAGAAGCAAGTCTGGGATTTAGCAGAAGATGTGAGTATTTCGAGCGCTTATGAAGAGAGGAGTTAAAGAAATTTATTAGTTGATTGAGTTGAGAAATTAATCTCTTACGATTTGCATAGCTCTTGCTCTTTTTGGATCTCCAAACACGATCAGCCCAACTTTTCACGCGCGCGGAACGTGAAAACAGCACAGAGGTTAACAATCACTGGCCATAATGTTTACTAGACTCGCTTTGTTCTTCAAGAGATTTTTTTTTCTTTTGAAGGATTAGGAGGTCCAGAGCGTCGCAGGGCTTACTTTGTTTGTTATGAACCTTTATTATCCTGACTCGATGGGGGATAGGGAAACTCTGATGTTCCTTTCATTTTGATTTAATGCAGTATACTATTCCATATTCTAAATCGAATTCGAATTTAATGGATTAGTGAAGGGGGAGACCGACATGTAACTTACCCAGACAAGTGCTGTTTGAATCTATCTTGGATTGTAGTGCACATGGAATCCTTGCCTTTTACACAGACCTGTATGATTAGTGTAAAAGTTGAACTACGGTGTGAACTATAGAAATCATTCAAGGCTATCAACATTTTATTTTTTTCAAGGAGTGAATCAACAGGAAATGAAACGCAAAAGGAACAAGGGGTGGATGTTACTTCTGACCTGGAAGGTGAACTTAACACAACATCTTTCATGCGTAATACAATGGTGAGTAGCACCATGGTCAGTGGAGAAGCATCTGAAACTGATGACGAAGATGAGGATGATGAAGAAAATCCAGGGAATGTGAAAGAAGATGAAGATTTGGCAAACAGAGAAGATGAAAATTTAAAAGAAGAAGGAGATGCAGACACTGACATCTTAGAATCGGAACTGGACACGAATGCAGGGAAAGCCAAGAGACAGAAAACTGTTTACAAGTTTGATTCGTAAGTATTAATTCATCTATACCATTTATAGATGTAATCAATGTCAGATTCTTAAACTTACTCTCTGTATGCATGTAGAATGGCATCATCATATGAAATAGTTTTACAAGTATGACATTCCATTAAGCACCCTATTCAAGGCTTTGCATCTGGTGTGGGTCACTTAAGTAAAAACAAAACTTCAGTTTTCTATAGTGTGAAACAGTCACATGATTCAAAGGAGTGTGAATTTTAAAATAGTACACTACAGGGATACTCACAGATCTTGTCTGCCAAACTCTCAGAAATACCATCAAAAAGCTAGCAGAAATGTCTAATGTATACCAGTTTGTTCTCCAATTTTGTTTCAAAAACAAGTGATGGCAGATCATCAAAAAAGCCTATATTAGCTGCATATAAAGATTTTTTATATCTGTTTGCTTGCCATTGAACACACAAACATTAATTAACTATTTTGTGCATTAGACCTACCATAAAAATGCTGATTGGTGAGAGCATTAAGTCAAAATACAATAGTATGTTAAGCTGAAATGATAACCCATTATCTGCAGCAAATATTGGGTTATCATGTCCTGTTCAAAGTTTGCCTAGTTTTCAAGCCCCTTGTCTGTGTAGTGTTCTCAGACTTCGGCATTGATTATGCATGATATCATGGTCAACCTCATCCAATAATTGCATATTATTTGTACAGTTTTTTCGTAACTGTTGTTTTAGCTTATTTTGACATTGAATTGGTTTGCTTTTTGTTTCCATATGACACTGTGGATATCTCTTTCAAATAATAGTCCATTCCACCGGAAACTGAGTAAGTATTAAAAGCAGATATTACTACATAGGTGTACACAGTATGTGACCTGATAGAGTAACATTTGGTTGATTGTAAAAATTGATCTGGGATTGCATTGGTTTTTTGCTATTTGTTTCTATGATTGATTTGGAAATTTGGTGTCGTCCTCTGAACCCATCAAATTTCAAATCAAAACCAATTCTAATTTGGTATTTTTCTGCACCCCAGGAATTTTTTGTGAGCTCTCAGTTGGACTCCTTATGATTTTAACCTTGGTTCTGATTGCCTCCTGGTGATTTTGACTTTGGTTCTCATTGGCTCCATGTGATTTTTACCTGGGTTCTGATTGGCCCTGGTGATGACCTTGTTTTTGTTTTATCACAATCAACCAAAGAGTGCTCTAAATTTGTTCCATGGACGTAACAGTCCAAGTTAGATGTTGTCTCTCAATGACTGATTTATTATCTCAGTAAAAGTGTTTCTAGGGCCGCCTAAGATTCTTTAAAAGGGTGATCATTAATCAATAAACAGGTATTAACAAACAGGGATTACATGTGTAAGTTTAACTATAAAGTTTTGATTTCAGGAACAGTCAGCAAACAAGCTCCAAATATGAGCACTGCGCAACACACGTTTCTCTGCCCACAAGATGATTTGAGACAAATCTGGGAGAGGTTTGCCAGGGGTCTGGCAGCTAAAGAAATTGGCAATGGTTTAGCGTAGTCTGTACCTTTATGGACAACATTATTGGTCATCATAGTGATCAAGATGTTGTGGACTCATGAGGCACAGCCAAGTGAGTCTGCAACAAAACGGCCTCCCAGTTAGCTCAATTGGTAGAGCACCAGACTGTTCTGTGGGAGGTCAAGGGTTCAAGCCCCGGCCAGACCAATACTCAGGGTCTTAAAATAGCTGAGGAGAATTTGCTTCCTTTCAATAATATCAAGAAATGGATAGATATTCTAGTCTTCTCCGATAAGGACGAATAAACTGTAGGCCCCGTCTCCTGCAGGATTGGGGTAGGAGACATTAATTTCCCACACACGAGATTACTGTGTGGTGGATGTCCTCCCCTGGGGTGGGATGGGTGGGTTTACTGGGCCCACAGTAATTGGCACAAGCTGTTGTG